CTTGAACTAGACCTATATGAATGTATTTAAAATTTTTGTCTCTGTGTTTTTGAAGAGTTTTGGAAAAGAGGAGATGAATTGTTTCAAAGGATTTTAAAAGCTGAATGTCCCTCTCATCGGTTTTGATAGTAAAATATGTTTTGAAAAGATTATATTTTGAGGTTTTGTAAATTTCATTTTTGTGAATCTTGGGTATTGCCCAATCATCAATTTGTTTTTCAAAATTTTCAATTACATATTCAACACTATTTATTATCTTCCTAGATTCAAAAGAATCGAAACGGAAGAGTTTATAAAGGAAGTAGATCTACATAATATAGAATCCATGGCTAGATTATGGTTTGGAGCATGGGATACGCGAGTTATGAAGGTGATTCATCCGATTTCTTGCCTAGCCTTAAAGACTTACGATAGCCACACCAACTCAATTGTCTATACCCCTATCTCTTTAGCAGAATCTAAACATGAACGATATAAACGATAAACGTACAACCACCACAAATCCTTGGCTATATATAAGGCTCATGATTAACAAGTATATTTTTAGGTTACAATGGTTATTTTGAAACATTTTAATTTTTAATTTTATTTTAAATTTGTAATGACTCGATAATTTTTTAACATAATTTTATTTCTTAATAAATTTAGTTTTTTAATATATGAATTTTAGGATAAAATTTTACAACGTCAATTTTTATTTTTTAAAAATATATTATTATAATTTATACAATAAATTATTTTTATATTTTTAAATGAGTGTTTTATTTTTTAATATATATATATATTACAAATTAACTATATATAGATTCGATTTATATTAATCATAAAAAATAAAACTTTCTATTGACATTACATCATATGAATCGTTAACCCTACGTATGTAACGGTTTTACGTACGTAGCGTAGCGCTAGTATCCAACAAGTAAATCATAAAAGATATTCAAAAACCTATTGGATCCTCGATCTATTGGCCCTTAGCCCAACTCAAAGCCCATCCCGTGGAGCCTCTATTTTCCTCTCAAGCCTAGACCCAACTAAACCAGCCCAAGTTTCAGCCTAAATCCAGCCCAAAAACTAACTAAGCCAATGGCCCAAAGCCCTCTCTTTTTCTTCCTGGACCTCACTCAACCCAGTCCAGCCCCGTTACCCTTTTTCTTTTCTTTCCCCTCAACCCAGCTTTTTTCTCTCTCTCTCTTTCCTCTTTCTTCTTCTACTTCCTCGTTATCCTCCTCACAACACAGACAATCCAGAACTAGAGCTTTAGACTAACTAAACCATGAGGCTGCAAACTTAGACCTTAGATTTGTATATTGTGTGACAAGACCCTTGGTAGCATCCTTAATTCGAGAAAAATAACTAACTGAGAAAGAAAATGAACTTGTGGAGCTTGGTAGACGAAGGGAAATGGCTGGTGGCGAAGGAATTTGAAACCAAAACCACTTTAGAAATCTAAAATACCCTCCTTGAAACCCATAATGTTATTTGTTGAGGCCGGAATTCTTTTCCTTCAAAACCCAGAAGATGCTCTTCCTAGAACTAGGAAATCCAAAACCAAGGAAAAACGCTCCTCAATCCAGAATTATTCCCCCTTTTCAATCCCAGAATTCCTTCTTCTTTTTTTGCCCTTAAACCCAGAATTGTTTACCTTAAACCTAGAATCGCTCCAAACCCAGAATTCCCTTTTTTAAGCCCATAATTCCTCCTTAAATTCTCCTAAATGAGCTTTATTTATACTCAAATTCCAATCCTCCTTAAACTTTTGAATTTGTCCTGTCATTCGCTCCTCCTTTCAGTTACAGTTCTTGTGAATTCAAATTTCTCTTCAATTACACCCTCCGGATACGTTATTTTTGTTCTTTGTTCTTTCAATTTCTTGCAATTATACCTCTACATCACTTAATTTCAGTTTCGGTTCTTTAATTTGTTCGATTGCACCCTTAATGTCTCTTGATTCCAATTTCTGTTTCTATCAATTGCACCCCTATTGCCCTTCCATTTAAGTTTCTATTTTATTCAATTGCACCCCTACTTTCCTTCAATTTTAGATTTTATTTTGTTCAATTACACCCCTATTTTCCTTCAATTTCAGCTTCCATTTTATTCAATTGAACCCTTCATTTTGTTTTCTCAACTATTAATCATTTTTGTGTTTTTTATCCTTTTTTTATTTTCATATTTTATGAAAAATAAATAAAACTAAATTAAATTAACCCAATTTTTATGTTTCTTTTCTGTTCTCTCTCTCTCTCTCTCTCTCACTCTTTTTTTTTTTTGATAAAATGAAGGATAAATTATACTAAAAAACTAAAAAAAAATAAGTAGAACCAAAAGTAATAATAAAATAAATGTGCACACGTAAAAATTAAATTTGTAAAGATAAAAATCGTGAAATAAATAAATAAATAAAAGAGGAGGGCAAATTTTTTGTTATAATATGGTCAATAACTTATTTAACTTTTTATAATAGGATGAGATGAGATATAGTCAATATAAAATAAATTTAGTGATCAAACTTTTTGATTTGAGCATTAAACGTACGATACTTTTGATAACGGTGACGATAACGATAGAAGTAATAAATAAAGTCTAAATTAAGATAAGTAAATGCATTGTTAATATTACTTGTGCAATTAATATAATACAAAAAGGTATGTTGCATGCATGTATTTGTTGATGTTCTTGAGATTTAAAATTATATGATTTTCAATAGCTAGAGAGACGTTTTGAGAGAGCACATAGATATAAAGATTATGAAAGCACAAAAATACATGAAATTTATTTATAATGAAGAATGAATAGATCAGAATAAAAGAAAGGAAGAGATATTTGGTGTAAGAAAACTACATTTTGGATGCCGAACCATTAATTTTTTTTTTTTTTTACATATTTCAATTCCTAACTTTTAATTTTTTTTTTCAATTTAAGTATCTACAACCTTTTGAAAGCATGAGTTGCTGAAGTGCTTATAGTTGAGTGTCACATTACATTTTTTATTGCCACATGGTATTTTTTTATGTGGCAAAATTGAGTCTAAGATGAATTTATGTACTAAAACAATCAAAAAATTAGGTACAAATCATTAAAAATTGATCATTTGGAGACCAATTCGAAAAAACAATCAAAAGTTAGATGGAAAAAAATATCATTCTCTCCTTTATATACGTTCATATATATAATTCGGCAAGTTGGTCGCTCAAGTAACCCACCACTTTCACTAGGTTAAAGCTCGGTCTGGTTCCATAACATTGGTTAAATGACTGATTCTTAATTAAGTTAAAAGATCATGAAAAGTGGAAACACTTTTTTTATTATTTAGAGCAATGCAATTATTTAATATTTGAAAAATCAATTTGATTCATAAATTTATTATAACTTTCGGACATATTTTATTTAGATGCAATGTAATTATTTAATTTTACAAGCATTTACAAATTATATTATAATAATACAAAGTATTTGACAAATCAAATTGATTCATAACTCTATTATAACTTTCAGTGACGTGTCAATTATTAAATTTTTCTAAACTAATCCTAATTTATAAACATGTAATTTTTTATATGAATTGATTTAATGGTTTGCCAATAAAGAAAACGCATCCCACGTGTGGTACCTGTAAGCAAAAAGGTTGAAATTCTTAGGGGGAGGGAGGGGGTGGGGGACTCAATGAGCTCCTTGAAGCCTTCATTTCTACATACCCATTCGGAAAAAAACAAACATAAAATTGGAATTAATGTTCTGCTAAAACATTTTCTCAACTGTCTTTGCAAACAGAAATCAATGTAATTATAAACAGCAAAAGCTACAGAAAAAAATTCAACAGACTCGAGAAAATCACAATAAAACCATCTTTGTACGGCCAATAAGCTTAAAAAAATATAAGCCTAGCTCCACTGAAATTTTCCAACTAATAGAAAGAGCCAGCAACGGAAATGTACGTCAGATTTTCCATTCAATCAAGAGAAATTTTTTATAATACACAAGGAGTAATTAATGATATGTATAGTAATTACTCTTTGGATCCACTTTAAGGAGAGAGATAGACACATAAAAAGAGAGAAAATAAAAAAATTTAAGCGAACTTGAAAATCGTCTTATCACTTTTTATGGATATAGATGTAATTTCTCTTTTTTTTATGTGTCTATCTCTCTCCTCAAAGTGAGTCCAAAGAGTAACTACTGTACATGCTACTAGTTACTCCTTGTGTATTATAAAATTTTCCTTCAACCACCGTCTTTGAAATCCTACAATGGTTCGGATATCTGTCTAAACCAATTTCTCTTCACAATCTATCTAGAATACCACACAACCTTTCCTCTAGAATCCGGATATTGAGTCGGTGGAGTAATCACTCCATTCCTGTTTATATATAATAATAATAATAATAATAAAGACAGAATCAGCAAAAAACAAAAAGGTAAGTTAATATAAAAACTTACATGATGGGATAGGTCACATTTAAGGAAACCCTGCCTATTCCTTCGGGGTAGTGCTCCAAATCCATTCCCCGTTTCATGTACATACACCCATCCAAACCATAACCAACACCTCTAGAGTTTAGGAAAATCCATGCTTGACTATTGAAATCCTACAATGGTTCGGATATCTGTCTAAACCAGTTTCTCTTCACAATCTATCTAGAATACCACACAACCTTTCCTCTAGAATCCGGATATTGAGTCGGTGGAGTAATCACTCCATTCTTGTTTATATATATATATATATATATATATATATATATATATATATAATAAAAAGACAGAATCAACAAAAAACAAAAAGGTAAGTTAATATAAAAACTTACATGATGGGATAGGTCACATTTAAGGAAACCACTGCCTATTCCTTCAAGGTAGCGCTCCAAATCCATTCCCCGTTTCACGTACATACACCCATCCAAACCATAACCAACACCTCTAGAGTTTAGGAAAATCCATGCTTGACTATTGAAATCCTACAATTGTTCGGATATCTGTCTAAACCAGTTTCTCTTCACAATCTATCTAGAATACCACACAACCTTTCCTCTAGAATCCGGATATTGAGTCAGTGGAGTAATCACTCCATTCCTGTTTATATATATATATTAAAAAAATAATAATAATAATAAAAAGACAGAATCAGCAAAAAACAAAAAGGTAAGTTAATATAAAAACTTACATGATGGGATAGGTCACATTTAAGGAAACCCTGCCTATTCCTTCAGGGTAGCGCTCCAAATCCATTCCCCGTTTCACGTACATACACCCATCCACACCATAACCAACACCTCTAGAGTTTAGGAAAATCCATGCTTGACTATTGTATCCAATTGCCGCCATCATATGCAATACATAGTCAAACTTGTACTCTGTGGAATAAATTCCCTACAAGAAATTGAAATACAATATAAAATTAGTTATTTAATCACCTCATCAACATTTTTTCAAAATAGGTTTTTTTTTTAAAAAAAAAAATAGATTTTTCTTCTCACCTTTTTCTCTAAAATGAGCTTATTTTGAAGAAAAAATAAAATAAATTAGCTCCACATCTCCCTATAAAGTGAGTTTCCAATAATATCACAACGTATCAAAATGCAGCTATATATACATTTATATAGATGTAATCTCTCCAAATTAACAATTTTATTCGCATGTAATTTGCACATGATTAATTAATAATTAGTTTTGACAAAAAAACAAATTTACTATATAATAATACTTTACGTTTTTATTAAAAAAGAAACACAAGAAATTACTATATAAATACAAGAAAGTTAAACGAAACAACGAGAGATAAACCAAGTCAAATAATTGTTCGAAACTCGTTAGCTTCATTCAAGCAAAAGATGGCTGCAAAAATTTTTCCAATCCTGGGTCATTTTGATCACTTTCCTAGGTCATTTTGGTCTCTCTAGCCACACAACCAACAATCTTATTTATTTTAAAATTATAGCAGGAGCTTACTTTATAATATATATAATATTAGGGTTACTTCATTTACGATTATGTGATCAGCTTTTACTCGTGGATTAAGACTAAGAATCTTTTCCTACAAGAAAAAACATCCCTTTTACTATAATAAAAAACAACTATGATAGTTTAATAATTTTATACAGAGTATGTTCTATATTTCAACAATTAATCATTAGCTATATTAGCTATCTTTAGCGAAAAGATTTGTATTAAGATATCATTGCATATAAAGACAAAGGACCCAGCTTCTCGAATAACTAATGGAGTGACATAAGCCTTTTCTTCACCCTTTTTCTTCCTACATCTAATTGGTAGCGATACGATCCTCAAAATTGTAGTCAGATTTCATTTCAGAAGCAAATACATATAGAAACAAAAGAGCTTTTCGAAAAGACCTTAAATCACTAATTGAGCAACATAAATTTTGAGAATTTAAGAGTGGATGTACAGTAATGTACGATCAATTAGATCAGGTGTTCGCCATCTTCAATTGTTGATGAGATTGTTGAATGAATTGATTGTTGGATAATGTAGGAAAACGTAATATTTGAGGAATATTCTTTGCTATTTTAGGAAGGTCTTATAATCACAGAAAATCAGTCTGATTTTCTATCCTATTATCTTCCTGATTTTTTGCCCTATTATTTCCTTCATATTCTAGTGTATTAGGTCCCCTATAAAAGGAAGAGTCCTCCATTATAAACATAACAGACACATAATAAAATAAAGAAAGATCTCCCCTTGTAGATGTAGGTCTTATGACTGAACCACGTTAACCTTTGTGTTTTCCTTCTTTTTCTTCTCTAAAATTCAACATGGTATCAGAGCTAGTTCTTTCTAGGACAGAAACCTGAATTGTTACCAGCCTTCATTGCTAGTGTTGTTTTTAAACCAATCTTCATTGGTACCAACCTACTTTTTGCTGGTGGTTTTTTTTGTTACTGAATTGTTACTAGCCTTCATTGCTGGCGGTTTTATCACATGTAAAAAGTCTTCATTTCCTAGTTTTTTAGAAACCAAGGGATATGTCAAAGGACAAGGAGACGACAGTTACAGCCCAATCACAGTTGGCTGTCCGATCTCAACAGCCTGGGGAACTCCAAAGCATTCAGGCTGCATATAGATTGAATGGAAGAAATTACCTCAAGTGGTCCCAACTTGTTCGTACAGTGCTGAAAGGAAGAGGGAAGATCAGCCACCTTACTGGTACGAGGACCTAAACCAGGTGATCCTCGGTTTGAAGCATGGGATGAAGAGGATTCCATGATTATGGCATGGTTGTGGGGGTCTATGATCCTTGAGATTAGTGACACATGTATGTTCTTGGCTACTATCAAGGAGATTTGAGAGGCAATACAACAGACCTACTCTAAAACTAATGATGCAGCTCAAGTTTATGATGTCAAAGTGAAGACTATAGCTGAAAAACAAGAAAGTAAATCTGTTACTGAGTATGCTAATCAATTAAAATCCTTGTGGCAAGAACTCGATCATTATCGGGTGATAAAAACTAAATGTTCCGATGATGCAGTTGTTCTAAAAAATTTTATTGAGCAAGATAGAGTTTATGATTTTCTTGTTGGTCTTAATCCAGAATTTGATCAAGTGAGGGTCCATATTCTTGGCAAGCTAGAGGTTTCATGTTTTAATGAAGTGGTAGCTCTAATCTAAAGTGAAGAAAGTAAGAGAGGTTTGATGCTTGAATCACAGGCCATGGACAGCTCAGTAATGGTAGCAAGTGATGGCAACAAATCTGCCATAAAAACAAAAAAAGCACAATTTCTTGAAAGAGGACACCCTAGTCAATCAAAGGCTCAAAGTCGTGACAACCTATGGTGCACCTATTGCAAGAACACAAGCCACACTCGTGAAAAGTGTTGGAAGCTTCATGGAAAGCCTCCAAGTAGAGAATGGGTACAGAAAAAGGAGCAACCAAGAGGCAATGGGCAGGCTCATGTTACTGCAGTTCAACCAACTGAACCGCCACCTCAGGAGACAAACAATCTTAACCAAGAGGAGATTGAGAGCTTGAGATCTCTTATCAACAGCTCTGGAAACCCTTCAGATACTTGTTCTTTGGCATATTCAGGTAAGTTTCCATTCTCTAATGGGTTAAAGGTCTCAAGTACAACATTTGCCAACTCCTGGGTCATGGACTCGAAGCCACTGACCACATGACTCACTCACCAAATGTTTTTACCACCTATTTTCCATGTCCAAGCAGTAGGAAAATAGCCACTACTGATGGGACTTTAACCACATTAGCAGTTGCAGGAGGCCCAAATAAGTCCATCCCTGATTCTGAAAAATGTCCTTCATGTCCCTAGATTGTCTACAAACCTTATTTCTATAAACAAACTCACTCGAGATTTACATTGCAAAGTAATTTTTAATCCCAGTTATTATGTATTTTAGGACAAGGATTCGGGGAAGATGATTGAACATGCTAAAGAATATGATGGCCTCTACTACCTTGAAACACCAAGTCAGTCAAACATTATCAAGGGTAGATTATCTCATTCCTTCATTTCTGAAATTCTTTCATCCAATAAAGAGAAAGTTTGGCTTCACCATTGCTGCCTTGGATATCCATCTTTTAGGGTTATTAAAATTTTGTCTCTCTCTTTGTTTAAAGGCCTAAATGTTGAAAACTTTCATTATGAAGTGTGTGAGCTTGCTAAACACAAGCGAACATCTTTTTCAGTTAGTTCTAATAAAAGTTTTGTACCTTTTTATCTCATTCACAACGATATTTGGAGTCCATGTACTATTCCTAATGTTTCTAAGGCAAAATGGTTTGTCATTTATTGATGATTACACTTGTGTTACCTGGATTTTTTTACTCAAACATAAATCTGATGTTAGTACTATTCTTCCAAATTTTTGTTCCATGGTTAAAAGCCAATTCGAAGTCAGCATCAAAAGGTTTAGGATGGATAATGCTAGGGATTATTTTAATCAAATCCTAACTCCATATTTTCATAAAGAAGGAATAATACACGAGTCATTTTGTGTCTATACCCCACAACAAAATGGAGTAGCCGAAAGGAAGAATGGTCACCTCCTAGAAACAACCCGAGCTTTGTTATTCCAAAACCATGTGCCTAAATCTTTACGGAGGGAAGCTGTTCTTACGGCCACTCATCTCATAAACCGTTTACCTTCTAGGGTATTGGGGTTTAAAAGTCCAATGGAAGTACTATCAACCTTCTACCCTAACCTCCATACTACAAATAACCTTATCCCTAAAGTTTTTGAATGTGTTTCATTCATCCATGTCCATAGTCCAAACAGAGAAAAACTAGATCCAAAGGCAATAAAATGTATCTTTTTAAACTATTCTTCTAATCAAAAGGGATATAAATGCTATCATCCTCCATCTAAAAGGTTTTATGTTTCAATAGACGTCACGTCAATGAACAAGAGTCTTATTTTACGCTCCTTCCAGAGGAGCATTCTACCTTGGAAGGTAAGGAGGAATTTTTTCTAGCATCCCTTCCTGTGCCTAATTCGTCTTTTGAAAAGCCTATTTCACCATCCATTTCTGAAAATTCTCCTGAATATCCTCCTGAACCCATTCTGCAAGAAAAAACCGACTCTACTCTTGAAAATGTGAGATTTAGCAAAGGAAAAGCGTTCATAAGGAAGAAGATGGGTGCTCCTAAATCTGAGCAAGTCCAAGAATCCAGCCCAAATCCCGAGAATGAGGTAACAATTTCTAATCCCTTATTGCATAATGAATCTAGATCTCATAAGGGGATTGATGACCAGGACCTTCCAATTGCTATTAGGAAAGGAACAAGAGAATGCACCAAACAACCTTTATACCCTTTTGCACACTTCTTGTCCTTTAAGAAGTTTTCACCATCTCATAGAGCCTTCCTTGTTAGTTTAAATACCATTACCATCCCAGCCACCTTATCCGAGGCTTTGTCCAATGAGAAATGAAAACAAGCTATGAATGTGGAGATGGAAGCATTGGAAAAAAATAAGACTTGGGAGTTGGTAAAGTTGCCGGCTGGAAAAAAACCTGTGGAGTGCAAATGGGTGTATACAGTGAAGTATAGAGCATATGGGTCCATAGAAAGATACAAGGCAAGGTTGGTAGCCAAGGGGTATACTCAAACCTATGGAATTGACTATCAAGAGACCTTTGCTCCTATTGTAAAGATGAACACTGTTCGATTTTTGTTGTCATTAGCAGCTAATTATGGTTGGGATTTACAACAGTTTGATGTTAAGAATGCATTCTTACATGAAGAATTAGAGAAAGAAATCTATATGGAGGTTCCACCGAGGTTATGGGAAGAACTTGGTTGCTAATACTGTGTGTCGGTTGAAGAAAGTCTTGAATGGCCTAAAGCAATCACAACGAGCATGGTTTGAGAGATTTGCTAAAGTTATGATAGCTATGGGATACAAACAAAGCTAAGGGGATCATACGTTGTTCACTAAACATTCACCTTCAAAAAGAGTTACGAGTTCTCTTGGTTTATGTTGACGACATACTAGTGTCGGGAGATGATGACGAGAGAGAGACAAATACTGAGTCGGTGTTTAGCTAAGGAATTTGAGATCAAAGCATTAGGGAGGTTAAAATATTTTCTCGGGATTGAGGTTGCTCACTCTAGGCAGGGTATTTTTATATCCCAATAAAAGTATGTTACAGATCTCCTCAAAGACACGAGCAAGACGGCATGCAAACCAGCAAGTACCCGAATAGATCCAAATCTTAAACTTGGAAAGGCTGAAGAGGATGTTGCAGTGGATAAGGACATGTATCAACGGTTAGTAGGGAGACTCATCTATCTATCTCACACACGTCCGGATGTAGCTTATGCATTCGAGTGTGATTAGTCAATTTATCAATAACCCAAAGGAAGTTCATTTACAGGCAACTCACCGAGTGTTACAATACCTTAAGAGAACACTAGGGAAAGGTATTATGTTTAGACGAAATGGAGGTTTAGCACTTAAGGCATACACAAATGCTGATTATGCTGGGTCAATTGTTGACAGAAGGTCAACTACTGGATATTGCACCTTTCTTGGTGGAAATCTTGTGATATGGAGGAATAAAAAACAGAATGTAGTTGCACGGTCTAGTACAGAGGCAGAATTCCGAGCAATGGCTCAAGGAGTGTGGTAACTACTGTGGTTGAAGATCATTCTAGAAGACTTAAACGTTAAGTGAGATGGTCCAATGAGACTTTATTGTGATAACAAGTCTGCAATTAATATAGCCCACAACCCGAGTACAACATGATCGAACGAAGCACATCAACATTGATAGACACTTCATCAAAGAGAAGTTGGAGAGCGGTTTGATTTGCACACCCTATGTGTCTACACATGGTCAACTTGCCAACATGCTTACTAAAGGGTTAAATAGCTCGGTGTTTCAAAGCATTGTATCCAAGCTGGAAATGGAGAACACCTATTCACCATCTCGAGGGGGAGTGTAGGAAAACGTAATATTTGGAGAATATTCTTTGCTATTTTAGGAAGGTCTTATAATCACCTGATTTTCTGTCTTATTATCTTCCTGATTTTCTGCCCTATTATTTCCTTCCTATTCTAGTGTATTGGGTCCTCTATAAAAGGAAGAGTCCTCCTCCATTGTAAACATAACAGACACGTAATAAAATAAAGAAAGATCTCCCTTTGTGGATGTAGGTCTTATGACCGAACCACGTTAACCTTTGTGTTTTCCTTCTTTCTCTTCTCTAAAATTCAATAGATAAGGTGGCTGTATTATGGGTGGTAGTGGAAAAAAAAAAAAATACCCTCCAGCTTGCTAACTGATGCATTTATTGCTATATAAGAGAGGTTTAAAATTATTTTTCTTTATTTCAATGTAGAAATTTGTTTCATTAAAGCTAAAAGAATAATAAACAAAAAATTGGGTTTTACATGAAAAATTCTTGAAATAAAATAAAATTTAAAAAATATATTCAAAGGCAAAGTAAGAAAATAAAAAACATTACAATTTATTGCACTATTTCAATATATATTATCATTATTTGTGTGTGTATATGGAATAGATGACCCACCTCTTTGTAACTCTCGTAATCTTCTTTCACCAACCATAGCTCAACAGCAACAGGCTGTTGAGCTATTGCAAGCTCCATCCAGCTTTCATTTTGCACCGGGACAGTAGCATAGCCATCAATATAGAATTTTTTCTATTAGAATCAAACAAAAAATATATATTAACATTTAATAAAAACAAATTAATAACAATGAAACACTAATGAGAATAAATTTAATTATACCGTCGAATTAAAAGCATCAAGACGACATGGACTGTATTCTTTAGTCCAAGGATAATCAGCTTCTAAACACACCTTTGTTGCCAATGTAATCATAGGCTGACTTGATATCATATAAACCTGTTTCAAAATCGAACTCTTCACAGCAGTCTACAATCTCTTTGGCAGATAATATCACTTTTTCACCAGTTTGCATGAAGATCAAACTCTCCATACATGAGGTTAAAGTTTGAGCAGTACAAGAATCTAAGAAAACAAAAAATGAAAACTTATTTTACATCAAACAGAAACAGAACCCAAACAATACATATTTTATATAATACAAAACCCAAACCCACAGATAATAAAATAAAGATTAAACTTACTAGTGTCAGTTTGATCTTTGATTTTCATTATAGCTCCTTTCGACCTCCAATCCATACTTTCTGGAAGAGTATCCAAATTGGGATAAAAGTGACGAGGTCCACTTGCATAAACCTGCAACATGAAAATTTATCAGCTAATAAAAGATAATTATTAATCAAAATCAAAATTCAAACATCTTACACCATAGTAAGGGTCTCTCTCACCTTTCTAGGAGAGGTACTTGGGTAATTTATCAACCATCTGCACCCATCAATTTGGGGAAAAACCGCAATAGAACAAGTTTCATTGACCCACTTCCTCTGTAGAAAAAACAATTCACCGTTTAGGCAACATTGTTAAATAAAACAAACAAAGAAGCAATCATTGTTTGAGCAACAACTTCATATCTTATTGTAGAAAGCAAAATCTACCGTGTGTGAGCTAAGCTCCTCAGTGGCCGGAAGCGATTTCTTTTGAATTGAATGGGTATCCTTCGGCTGTCATTTCAGAATGACATAAATTTCAATCAAACAGATTGAATGGTAAAACAAATGATAGAGAATAAAGAATCTCGTGTTACGCAGAAAATGAGGTACTCACCAAGGATAACCGAAGCTGCTGTTGCTGCTTTTCCGCGAACTCTAATGAATCCCTTCTGTTGCGTTGCGACAGAATCACAGGAAAGGAAGATTTAAGAGAAGGTTGAAAAGGTTTAAGAAAAGTAGTAACCATTGTGATTGCCCTGGCTAGAAAGTATATAATCTAATGAAATTTTGGCTCAAGAGAAATTATAAAAGAAAGTAAAGACGAAGAACAAAGGCTGTGTTTGTTTGGGGGAAAAACAAGTTCCTGAAACTTATTTTTCCCATTTTCCAGTGTCAGAGAGTATTTAAAAGAAACTAAAACTAAAAGAACTGGACGTGTAGCTGTTCACTTACCGTGGGTAGCTACACACCCAGTTCTCGTATTCATGCCTTTTCGTCTGATTTGTTCATTCCTTTGTGTGGTTTCTTTATTTGTTTTTTCCTTCGGCGCGGCGTGTTCGTTAAATCACTGTACAGAATCAATTGTTATGTCTATTTTTTTGTTTCAACCGTTCGATCTAAATTAGTTTCTTTCAAACCGTCCGATCAAACATTACTTTCTTTCAATCTCAACCATCCATCTAAAAACCCTAACAATCACAGCCATTAAATCATATGCTATATAACTTCTCTTTATCCCAATTTCATAAGGCTCCATCTCCTTCACCATTCTCCTCTTCACAGCAAGCCGCCGCATCACTGGCTGCTCCACCAGCCAGCCAAATACCGGCTCTCTCACAGCTGCCGTAACTCCCAACAGGAGTCCTGACCGTCTAAACCCAGTTGATGGGCTGCCATAACGTACCGCTCTCACTCTCCCTCAACAATCCATTGCCACTACCTCCTTTCCCTGTGAAAGCTCCATCACTCACTCAGGTCTGATCCCTCCTCCCCCTTCTCTCTCTCTTCATCTCTTTATTATGTCGAGTTGTAAGGATTTGGAAGTTAGGTTAGGGTTACAGATGGGGTTGTCACAGACTTTGTTGAAACCTATGGTTAACAAAGAAATGGAGAAGGAGGAGAACAGATTGTTGGGGAAGCAAATTAAGGTTGATGTTGATTCAGATGATAATGAACCTTTTGGTTCTTTGTTCAAGTTGAAGAGGCCTAGAAACCTAAAAAGGTTAAGGTAGTTTTGGAGAAGGTTGAAGCTAGGAGATAAATTTGTGGTTGAGGAGGAGAATTTGGGAGGAACGGATGATATGCTTGCGAGTTTTAAGAAGAAGTTGAAAGATCTTGACAAGGATTTGGGATCTATAAGAGTAATATCATTTTGAGATCCAAAATAAATGCCCTTTTCTTCAATTTGGCAGATTTCATGTTCTATTGAAGTGCTAATTTAGAAGATACACATGCTCGGTTTTCCTTACCTGTCTGTTTAGGATCAAAATTTTATTTTTTTCTTCATCTTTACATTACCAATTGGAGCACTTAATTGTAATCTCTTTCAAGTTCAAATATATAGATTTAATAGTTTGTGTGTGTAAACCAGTAAACCAACAGTTTTCACAATGCAGGTTCAACTGACAAAACTGTAAAACTTTGGAAAGGGAGGACATGCTTATAGACTTTTGCAGGGCATTCAGGTTGGTTTTCCCCCTTTTATCTTTCCTACATTCCTTGGTGCTCATCTGTGGTACATTTATGTTTTCCTTTAACTAATGAACTGATCTTGGAGAAATTTGCAGCCCCACTTTGTTCAATATTTGTTCTCTGTAACAAAAAATGGGATGGCTTATTCGATGATATACTCATTTAGGTCAGTTTTTGCTTTTGCAGGTAAACTTTATAGATACGGTGTGAGGCTTAGCAAAGATGCATGGATTGGGTATTCTTTCTGCATCACATGATGTGTGAGTTGTCTATTTCATTTATCTTCTGGTTCATATTGCAGATGGTTCTGTTTTATGTTTGTCTTAGTAGATGATGAATAATGTCAAAGTTATTGCAGTTTATAAATATTAAGTCTCTGAACTTCCTTCATTTTTAAAGAAATATCCTTATTATCGTTCCATAAATGGGTATTAACTCTTTTTTTTTTTTTTTTTTTGTGTGCCAACAACTCAATGAGATTATTTTTTATGGCATCACATTTTGGTAATGAAATATTGTTTCCTTTTTATGCATTATAAAACAATCTAAAAAATCATACTTTCATCCATCCTTTTTTATTCTTGACAAAAACATAAAACATGGTGTAAATAGAGTGAAGAGCGATTATAATGGTGTCTGTTGCTGCTCTTATTATTGTCTGATTTTTAGCCTGTCAAGCCACCCTTCAAGGTCCAAAGACATAAAGTCCAATAGGTAAATTAAAACATATAAAAAATGAATGCAAATGCTGTAGTTAACGTGTCATGATCACAATATAATCATTGAAATACTGTTCGCAGTCACCAGTTTTCTGAAGATCACAATCATAGTACAATTGTTTTAGTCAATTGGAATATGGCAGATATATGTAAGCTACTCATTTTGTACATTTAACAGCAGTGGTGATGAAAAGTGGTGAACTAAGACTTCACACCAAGAAAATTCCATATTATAGTTATTGCTAATTTCTAATTTGCTTCTAGGGTGTTTGATCTCTACCTTTTTTGAGTTGCTATGAAAAAACATAGAAATTTCTTTCAATAATTTCCCATACTATTTAAGCTATGATTTTCTTCTTGCTATCTTTAGTGTTCGTTTCATGTTATTTTGGGAGTATTCCAGTTGGGAAATGATTTTTTTATTATTTTAATTTCTTATATTACTATTATGACTTTGTGTAAGAACTTTTATTCTCAGTTTCCGCTGGCAGAGCACAAACATGTGAATGGGGTTGTTGTTGCTAGCTGTCAGAGAGAAATGATTGCTGAACCTGACTGTTTTATGTGCATTTGAACTATCTTTTTTCCCCAATGCTACAATGTGGATCAGATTTGAATGTTCGCAAGTCTAGAGGTTGAAGATGGTGAGGGTTTAGTTGATTTTATGTATTTTTTTACATTGATTTTTAATTTTAAACTATTTAATAAATATATATTATAAAGTGTTTTGAGACCTCCAAATATTTGGTTTTATTAACAATAACTACAACAATAATCTCTATCTGCACCTGCCATTTTCTTCCACTTTCCCAAGACGCTACAATTTTTCAGTAAATCTTTGTAATAAAATCTATTCACAACATTTTGCTCAACGTCCAGTTCTGAAAATCAAAACCCATATCCAAAACATGCTGTTCTTCTTGAAGTCGATGGGTAATCACTCTTCTTTTTTCTTTTCATTTATTCAATTAGTTTTTTGGTTTTTATTTTTTTCTTTAATTCTTCTAAAAGGAATTATCTTTTATCTTTCAGGGTACTTACAGATACATGGAGGTTGGGAAATCAGCAAGCTTTTAATGTAGTTGTGCCTAATTAAATAGTATTTTTTTTGTAATTACCAATATCTTTATGACTATAAAATGATCATGTTTTACAGCAACTATTCGGGATTGTATATGTTCAACTGTTCAAATTAGTGTTCTCTCTTTATTTGTTTGTTTCCATTAAAACCAGCGTTTTAGAAGCTGGGACTCAATTATGCAAATTAGATTCATATGTGGGCGGTGCCTCCAATAGTGCTTGCTTTAGCTAAACAGAATTTGGATAAAAAGTATAACCTTTCTTCATTGAAAAATATTGGCTATGGTGCTGTCCTTCTGAGAAAAGATTTGATGAACGAATGTGCCAAAAATACATTTGATACTATAATTGGTCAGGTAAGTGGTGTAGTTGACTTTTTCATTAAAAACAAAAAAAGATTTACTTCTTTCTTAATCAAGATGCTTTCGGTGGTTTCAGGCTCAAGCCATGATTGAACCTTCTTCTATTGTTTCAGTAGAGGATTCAAGAATAAGTGTTCAACATTCAGGTTATGACTGAAAGTCTTATGTTAATATGATTGTCATGAAAAAGGTAGTTCATTCAAAGTGTTTTAAATGTTTCTTTGTTGACATCAGTTGCTGCATAATACTGTGCTATAGGAAATGCCTACGTGTAGATCTGAATATCCTCTGAGGTTTGTTATTATTCTTATTCATTTGTTGTTATATGTTTCATGTTCTATATACACTGCAAGATTGTGCCAATATGGGTCTATTACTTGATTTCAATTTGATCATTCAGAGTACAAGTAATCCATGATTCTTATCTATTTTTTGAAAAATGTGAGGTAGCCTTTTGTTTTTTTTTTTTTGTTTTTTTTTTTTTGACATCTTAAAGTTATCTTCTACAGCTTATTTTGGATTTATTTAGTCTCTTTGCTGTCAACATGATTGCTTTGCCTAGACATCCTGTTTTTTTTGTTGTCAATGCATCAGTAACTATTTTTCAGAGATTCATTTTGGAACAACTAGATTTGATAAAAGACATTATCATATATTAAGGTACCAGGCCTTTATTTTTCTTTGCATGCTTTTACATCATTGAATAGTTTGTGACTTGGTAAAGATTAGACTACTTGCTTGAAATACTTTTTGCAGATGATATTGTTGACAATATTTATATGCCACAATTGTACTTTCAGTGAAAGTCAATGTTAGATTATCTGTTTGCTAGCTTACAGGAAATCATAATGTTTTAAAATCAATAATCCTGTCTTTCAGTGAAAATCTTACCAAAAATCCTAAAACTATTGACATAGATAAATATGAGTTTAAAACATATATGCTTAATATCATAGAGTTCTTTTCATCTTCTCACACTTAGCCATGTGCTTTTGAGTAAGTTCTATCATGCATGGCCTTCGTGACATCCATGATTGTCTACAACTTTATGCATGGCCTTCGTTACATCCATGATTGTGTACAACTATGAAACATGGTTGTACTATGAACCTTGAAGACATTTAAGTACATCTCCACAACTGCATAATGATTGAACTAAAGAGATGATTGAGTTGATTATTTAAATTGCTTTTTCATGTGAAATTTAACTTGTTTTTATCATTTGAGGTGAAATTTTTTATCCTTTTTAGGATGATTAATTGTGTAGAGAATTTAGTTAGTATCTCTTTCTAAGAAAGCTCTATTATCTTTCTTCAAGCAGAGGATTAGTTCATTTGGCTCTAAAGCAGTAAAAGCTGCATATATTGTGATTGATGCTATAATGAGACTATCCAAAGGGTGGTGTTTTTTTTTTTTTTTAGGGTGGGGGTTTTCTGTGGTACTTGGAACAAGTATTCTGCTGTTTTGGATTTAAATAAAAACTAAAAAGCTCATGTCCTTTTGCAAACAATAGTCAAGATTTTTGCTGTAAAAAAAAAAGGTACTTAGTTCTCTTTTAAGATTGTTTCAATCCTTCTTAACATTTGATCCATGTTTATTACGCATATATTATGTACATATGTGCTTTGTTCCACCACTAGCCTTCCTGCAATCGCTTATTTACATTTTGAACATAACCATCAAATGATCATTGCTAAATAAATCTCACTTATTCCAAAGATTAGCACAAGCTAAAGCGCAATGTATAGGCAAAACATGATCGAGCAAATAAATTGAAACTAATTTCTTACGAACATAATTCATCTGTGCCAAAACTGTTTAAAAAAATATCAAATGGTCGAAACAGATAATGGCATCACTTGCAGTACATTATGGGAACGTATTTGATCATCTATATAAAACGAGTATCCGATCGTAGCATAGTGTGAGTATTCCACTAGTATAGCCTAATGAAATTTTGGCTGAAGAGAAATTATAAAAGAAAGTAAAGGTGAAGAACAAAGGCTGTGTTTGTTTGGAGGGGGAAAACAAGTTTTTGGAACTTATTTTTTTTATTTTTTAGTGTTTTTTTCATATTTAAGAAAAAAGTTAACGGAAAATGATTTTCAGTCAATGAAAAATGATAGAGTAATTTTGAAAATATGTTTTCTTAGTTTTAAAAGAGGAAAATATTTTTTTCTCATGAGTTGTCTCGCTCTCTTGTTATTTAACTTTCTCTCAAAATATATTTTAACAATTTTTTTATCTATCTTTTTTTATTTAAAATATATTATATTAATTTTTAATCATTTCTTATCAATTATTTATATATTGTTTCTTCATCTTTACTAATATTTGATTTTTTTGATTTATAGATACATTAAATATTTTTAAAAACTATTTTTATACCTTAAAATTATTTTTATAATAAATATTTCAATAACTTATCTCTTTTTTTTACTATTGTCTCAAACACTATCTAAGTTATAGTTAAATGATCGAAAATGATTATTACAAGACTATAATTTTTTGTAAAAAAATTAATTAATTAATTCATCAATAAATATATTATTTCTTCAACATTATTCATTTGCAATTTAATCAATAATTTGTAATTTTAATCAATTGTAAAATTTGTTAATAATTGTAATGAATAATTAGTTATAAATTATTCCAACATTAATTTTTTGAGATCAAATAACTAATAATTTATAAAATTATTTTTTAGACTAAATTATCGGTTTAATTTCTTAAAAAAAAATTCTTAATTGAGTTACTAAAATAATACTGCTAGGATTACTTAGAATCTTGTTTTATTAAATATGAATATTGACTTAATTTTATCCGAAGTAATTTTGATGATTTGGTTTGATTGTTAAAAAATACATTTTATTTTTTGACTTAAAATTTTAGAGTTAGTATTGATGAAAATTTATTAAATTTTTTTAAATGTATCTTATATTATGAAATTATGAATATGCCTTTTTAAAATTTTTTCAAAACTTATTGATATAACAATTATATAAGTTTTTTTATTTTAATTTTCTGTATCAAACAAACGTTGAAATATATTTTCTAACAGTTTTTTCATATAATTGCCAAATGGTAGAAAATATATTCTTGGAAAATAATTTTCAAAAAAATAGCTTTCTCAGGAATTAATTTTTTAATAAAACTTATTTTTCCTCGAACAAACACAGCAAAAGAAAATTTGTTTTTCTCTAAGGAGAACAAAAGATTTATATTCTTGCACACGTAAGGAGCGTATAACCAATCTGTTATCAACTACTGAAAATTTAATCTCGTGTGTACTTTGTGTATTTAATTTGTTAACGCCGCGGTATTTGTCACACAAACTCATGTGCAAAATACATCTACATCCCCAATCTTATTAAATTATTATTAGACATATGAAATATTGTGGTAGTACTTTTTAAAAACAAAACTATATGCCCATAACCTAGATGGCTCACCAATAACCAGTGGATCACTAATATAAGTGTTGCATTTAAAAATAAATTTGTGGTGATCACCGAGGAAATCATCCAAGGAATATTTCATCAGCAATTCTGACCAAAATAATAATAATAATAATATACGAAAATAAAATATAATTTTTATTTATTTATTATTTTTTGTGGAATTCTTAAGAATTTTTAGGAAACAATGGAGGAATAGGACCAACGTGGATAGTTTCTTAGAGATGCATTTGGTTCATCCAATGGAGGTAGACTAGACAATCACTGATACTACCTTTTGTTTAATGAACAATGGATTGGACTATACAAGTGTTTCATTTGTATATGGTAAGATGCAGTGGCAGAGGAGGAGTAAAATTGTTTGGAGGGGCTTAGATTTTTATATTTTTAAGAATTTATTGAAGGGGCCAAATTAGAATATTACAAGGATCCATATAAAAATACACTAAATTATGGGGACTACAATGAATCTTTGAAAGGCCCCCTCGTTAAAAGGATCCATATAAAAATATACTAAATTATGGTAATGTGATTCCATGCAATCAATTTTAGTGAGGTGTGATTTCTAAGTAATATATGTTTAAATTCCTTCACCAATTCCAAAGCCCAATCCCTTTGTGATACAAATTCTCTTTCAACTCCGAACATACTTATCAAACTTCCAGTCTCTAACCTTTTAACCAACCCATCTTTAAAAGCCTTGCAACAAATTTCCGTATCAACGGTTTTTTAAAGCGGATAAAATCCATGCAAACTGCCCACTGAATTTTATGTATGGATTGGAATGGCAATGGATTAGATATTTTTTCTATTAATTTAATTCTTTATTTTGTTTATTAAAAAGAACATTATGCCTTATATTCACAAAAAAATTAACTCTTTAAACTCATACTCGACTCATGCCCTATTTAATTATCTACCCATTAAAAATAATTCATCAACATATTTGATTTTGGTGCTTGTATTTTTTAAAAAACGTTATTTTGGCTTTTAAAAATTAATATTTTTACAAGTTGGACCTTTATTTATATGTTTTTTGAACTTCAAAGTTTTTATAAAAATATGTTGATCACTACTATATAAAATTTGTGCAATTAAATCCTTGCATGTAATTTTTTTTTTTTTTTTTTAAGAAAAAATCCATGAATTGAATAGATGAAACGTGGCATGAAAACTTATAATATTAATATGGTATAAATTGAGTATCCACAACCTTAAATTATACTAGTAAACGTGTATTTTGTTTTTTCTTTATCATCTTAATATCAATTATATATTTCCTATATAGTAGGGTAGAATGTATGTCCATTTCATATGCAGCTCATTGTTATCCCTAAAATAAAAACTATAATGGATTATTTATAACGAAGTTCAAATTTTTTGTTCGTTTTTTATTATGAGAGCGAGAGATTCCAGTAGTAGTCATCACAGATTATATAGTGCCCAATTCGGGCATCGAATAAAGAAAAACTAGACAAAAGTAACAATTAATACTTCCTAGAGTTTTAAGTGATTGCAAGCAAAGCCCGAGTTGAAAATGCATCACCAATAAAATGCTAACAGCTTGAAAAGTTTAAAATAATCTTACCAGTTTGTCGTTTTCACTTCTCTTCTCCAACCACTTTAGCTCCTTGTCGACCATGCATACTATGGTCCAGTGTCATCGGATTCAAGGCGAAATGGTTCTGAAAACTGGCCTCAAACAAAAACTTTTGAGGCCCAAAACATAAAATTTACAATTAGAATCATTGTAAAACACTTCATTAGCTAGAAACGAGGGTATCCATAAGCAAATGTCATTAGATTCTCTAGTTGCAATTTGGAATTGAAAAAACTTATCAAAAGAATTTGCTAACTTTGAAAACAAAAGCAGCAAGTAAAAAACCGAGCCAAAGACATTGTAAGTCAAATTAGTACAATATGCAAATCCAGAGTAGAAGTTAATTATGTAAGAGGGTATAGGGCAAAGCCTTTTCTCATTTCATCTTTTTCACGTTAGGTTAGTAGCTACGAGAGTAACTAAATTGGAGTATACAAAGCATGGATGACGACCTAAAGCAGCCAGCTTAAGGTAATCGCCTGAATTAGGCTTCAATGTTTTATTGGAAATCCTAAAAAAAAAAATTAAAAAGAAGTCCATGGATGCTATATACCACTTTAGTTGTACGCAACAGAAAAGTTGGTTCCAAAGATTCAGCATTTGTCCCTCACATGGTAATTCCTTCAATTATAGCAAAAATATCACCTTTTCTTTTCTTTCAAATGGCTCATCTGACCATCGCAGGGGTTAGTCCGGATGGTACTACCTCCGTCACTTGATGTGGAGGTTGGGAGTTCGATCTCCTCTGTAAACCAAAATGTTAAATAAAAGATAGCCCAAAGTTTAGCTTAATTAAGTGTCATTAATATGTAACGTAAAATACTGCTAATTAGATATAATTCAATTAGCATTACCGTCGATACCCACCACTAATAATTTTCAAATATGGCCATTTTAATTTTCAAATCCTCAATCGATACCCATCATTAATAATTCGTTAGTTTGATTTGACAATTTCAGTCCATCAAATGAAAATGAATAATATCTCTTTAATTGATAATTTGATTAATATTTGTTATGTATTATTTTTATATAATATATTATTCTACATGTTATTTGCTATTGAAAAATTTACTAAAATTCTATTACTATATTAAAAAATATTTAGAATAGAAGGATTAAATAAATAGAGAAAAATATAAAAGTTACATTAGAAAAAAATGTTAAGAGCACCCGTACGAAATATACTATTATTTCAGAAATAAAAGGTACAATGGAGGAAAAAAAAATAATGCCTTGGAGCCCGACCCATTTCCATATGCCATACCTAGCACAACAGAGAAATTGAGAAACAGCACCAACCACCCTCCAGGAGGCACGTGTTCCATAATTGAAAAAAAAGCCCATTCTACATGTTCTCAATTTCTCTGTTGTGCTAGGATTGCATAACCTTTTGATTGAAGGGGTTGAGGTGAAGGATCCGAACACCATGGAAAGCGTACCTAATGATGAAAAAACCATTGGTGGATTGACGTTTAGAAACATTTTGATGTCAGGTACCTCAAAAATTCTGAAATTACCCAAAAAGCAGATACGCCTTAAAGACCACTATCATAATGGGTGCAGTCAACGCATAGAATTTTGAGCTTTTCCAAGTGGGAGGTCTTGGACTCCGGGTTAAGTTTTTCTTTTGTCTTTTTTTCTTCAAAATAAAAAAAAGGGTTAAGATTTTTCCTGTGTTTGGATATTTCCTTAAAGGAAGAAAGGAAAATAAAAGAAAATAGAAGGAAAGAAAATTATTTTTCACTTATTGTTTGGATAAGAGTAAAAATAAAAGAAAAGAAAGTATATTTTTCTTGTTTAGATAATTGTAAAAAGAAGAAAGAAAGAAAATATATTATTGTATATTTACTATAATACCCTTATAATTACATTTCTATATTTGAATACTTATAATAAATTTTTATAAATAAATTTATATGAATATTTTTTTATTAAAATTACACAAATGATAATAAAATAAAAATCTAGCATGAGTATACCAAGCAAAGATGATGATAGAATTCATACCTAGAAACTGAAGAACTTCGAACAGGTACAACTCTTATTTGAACTAAATGAAAAAAAAAATGATTTTCAACTTTTTTTTTTAATCAAGTATATAAATTTGAATTTTTTTCATTTTAGTATACTAATTTTTTATTATTCTTAAAATATCAAATTATAATTTTTTTCTCAATAGAATACATAAATTTTTTTAAGTTTTTCTTAGATTGAGCACGTTAATTTTTTCAAACTATCAATCAAGTGCTTTCGTCAATTTCTCTATTAATTGATAACGCGTCCAAATACCAAATCATATTTTTTTCATTTTTAGTTGTAAAAAACCTTCTCTTTAAAATATTCTATCATTTTAAAATTTGATAAAAAAATTTAAAAAATTTTATTTTTAGTTATAAAATCTCGGATTAAACTTAGTAAAACTTACTGAAAAAAAAAAATCAATTAGACTTTGAAAGTGAAAGCTTAAAAAAAACACAAACAGAAGACTTATTTCTATTTTTTTTTTCAGTTTTTATTCCTAAACCTAACATTTTTTTTTTAACAACCTAACTGAATTTAGTTTGAAATTTTAAAGATAAAAAATATATATTATTTTAATTCTTTGTCAAATTTTAAAATGATAAAATAATTTAAAGAGAAAGTTTTCTTCAAAAAAAAAAAAGTAAAATTATTTGAATATGTTATCAATTAATGAAAAATTTAATAAAAATACATGATTGATAATTTTAAAAAAATTAATATACTGACATAAAAAAAAATTAAAATTCATATCTTCGATTAAAAAAAAATATAAAATTATAATTTGATATTTTGAAGGTAATAAACAAGCAATCAGTTAATAAAAAAACTAAAATAAGTACTTGACAAATAATTTGGAAAAAATTAACGAAAATCAAACGAAAAAAATTAAAATTAAAAATTAGTATAATTATGGAAGGAAAAAAGAAAAAGAAAAAAGCATACCCAGACCAGAGAGATCACTGGACCACCCGTGCGAACCCAAGAGTTTTTTTTTAATCATTGAGATCGAACTCCTAAAGAGAATCTCTGCAAAACCGTGAAAGACCTTTTCTCTTTATCTTTCTATTTGTTGTGACGGTTTTATCAAACTATGAATTATGAAACATTGTATTTATCCAAATCCACCCAAACAGAAAGGTTTGCGCGCAGTTACTATATTTGTTAAGGAAGAAAAGGTCAGATGAGATGATTGCCTTTCGTGGTTTCTTTAATTGCACATTTACATCACTTTTTTTTTTTTTTCAAACCTCCCACTGTAACTGGGATTAGAATGGCAATTGGCGGGTGCCCATCCATTTAGCCTTTGTTTTTTATTTTTTTAATTATCACTTACCAGATAAAATGCCCATACCCATATTGCTCTACCCAAATATCATATTAAAGGAAAAACAAATCAATTGTTAAAATGAAAAAGAAAAAAAATGGATTTTTATAAAAGATAAAGACTTCAAGAATGAAACATGCACGTCATTTAAGTGGTTTTTCTTTTTCATATTCTAGCGAAAGGTATTTAGATCAAAAAAATTTGTTTATAATAAAAAATTTTGATTAGAAAAACCTATTGAATATTTCAAAATTATTTAAAAATAAATGAAATGCAATTGCATATCTATAAACAAATGAAAAACTTTGAATATTATATAAAAACAAATAAGTATATTTACAATTATAAATGTAATAATTTATTCGACTTTTGAAAAAGAAAATAAATAAAGACACAATTTTCTCATCCATTTTCACTCTTTGTTTCCATTCATTTTAAGTTCTAACCAAAAGATTTTTTGAATTTTTACGTTATGCTTTTTTGTACCAAACAACGACTCGAGCTAGTACATTCTTCGCCCTTACGGTCTTTTTTGATCGGTTTTCGACTAACCGAATTGTCTAAAAAAATAACCTAAATTGAACCGAATTATTATTCGAATTTTTTGTTCGGTTTTGAAATATATCGATTTTTTTATTCGGTAATTCGGTTTTCACTTGTAATTATCTATATTTTTTACTTTTGAAAGGATCATGCACTTTCGAAAAAATAAATTTAGTATTTGTATTGCGATTTTAGGCTATATTCCTATATGTATACGTTTTTCAATCTCATTGAACTCTGTCTATTTACTATTATTTTACTACTCCTCAATAGGCATTACTAATATAATATCAATTGATATATATATATATATATATAACGAGATGTCATTATTATCATATAAAGTCTAATAATATATAATATATGTTATTGTCTATCAATATCAATAGATAATACCGTCAAATATATGTTACAATTAAGACATTTTAACAATTCATTCTAAAAAGAAACAAAGCATGCTTTGAAGCTCAAATATAACTAACTTATTTATCTTTATGAAAGACACTTTTAATTAACTTGACATAATTAAAACTAATAATTTTGGGTAACTTATTAAACACTATAGCCATAAGCTAACTTTTACTAATTAAATGACAATGTTGTTTTTGAATAATGAAGAACATTAGAAATTTAAATACTCAACTTTCTTTAGCGCAATTTTAAATTATATGTATTTACTAAAAAGAGACATACTAATTATTATCGGGATCTATAAATTAACTAGTTTTCTTTCACATAGAAAAAAAAAACACTATCTCACATCTTTGTTTTTTAAACTATAAATTGAATCAAGAAAGAAATTATGTACCTCCTTGAGCAATTATAAACAAGAATTGGTTATGGTCATTTGGCGTTGGGCCAGTTGGCTCATGTAATCAATGCAACAAGAATTAGTTATGGGCTAATTGATTTAACTCCAATTAGCTTAGGTTTGTGTGAGGGTGAGGTGAGTGTGTGAGGATTGGAATAAACGACGTCGTTCATCGATGAATTTTAAAAAAAATTTAATAATTTCGGTTATTTGGTTGTAACCGAATTTACAAAAAAAACTGAAACCGAAAACCGGCTATATTTCGATACGGTTCGGTTAGGTTATTCGGTTTTTATCGAATAGTGAACACCCCTAGATAAAATCCACAATAAAATTTCAAAGGAAGTGAATTTATTTCTGATAAAATCCTAATGTTCTTCCAATTTTAGTATTCTGGTCGGCGGAGGGGGAGCCGTAGGTACTTTGCAGGTAAGATGCCATTGATTCTGTGGTTACTGGAATAAGCTAACAGCTCCTCCCAGCACTACTATGTTAGAACAGAAAACATAGAAAAGCAAAATCGATCTATAATAATCAACCTCATATTTTTGAACGCTTTACTCATTGATTTTCGTTAATAAAAGACTGGGTAAAAAAATGTCCATATGAAATCAGGTTCTGTTTTCCTTCGGAAAGTTAAATATAATTAACCATAAACATACTATTATACTCAAGAAAGCAGTGGGAGTAAAAAAAAAAAAAACAAGAAGAAGAAAAACAGTCAAAGTTTGAGGAAGTAAATAGATACACGTACAAGAAAAATTGTTGGCTTAAATATGCGAAAACCTACTGCATTTTCTGTCAAGCCTAAATTAATCTCTAAACTAAAAGATCCTTCAAATTGCTATCTTAAACTTCCGAAAAAATTTCAGTCAATTATTCTAATAAGTAATAAGGGGAACCATATAAATCCCTAATAGAAGGATGTAACCTGTGACCTTTTATTTCAACATATACAAAAAGGCATGTCAAGTATTAGTTTTCAATTTTGGAAGAAAGGTGAATTTGAATTATTAATAAAAGTCATACATTGGTTTCTAAAAAGAAATCCCTTTTCAAATAGCTCTAAAAAAATGGAGGGAATTTGTAAATTTTGAACGTAAATTGTTGTGTTCTCGAGAAATTGGTTCCATTTACATGTTTTTTTTTCCTGTGGATTAAGAGGTTACATTTCAAGGATTAATTGAGAAAGTTTTGAAAAATTCAGAATAGCCATTTAAACAATCAATTAGTTTTGGTTTATCAAAAGTTTTGGATAATTAATACGTTTAACCCAAAATTATTTGGTTAAATCGGAAACGAAAATAGTAACTTGATAAGGTGAACAGTGCACTAAACCAACTGCCCTATAATTGCAATTAGTACTTTTATCCTGAATTATGCAATTAATTTGGTCTTCACGAATTCTATCAATTAATTTCTCCAAATCGTATAAAAATAAAAATAAAATTACCATTTCTCAAAAACAACAATAATTTACCTTTCTTTCAAGGAGTTAAGCTTTCACAATCGTCATGTCCAGCTGTTCAGACAGCCTTCTCAAAATCGGTTCCTTTTTCTTCGATCAAGAGAGAAAAATGCGATGGGGGTGGGGGAGCACAGAGGACGATGCACATGCCAAAAACAGGACCCATTTCCATTGCAAAACAATTGAAGCATGCACATGTGCTTGTCTCTCATCCATAGGCGTGGCCCAGACTACTGTAGAAAGGAAAATGGCACCTTCGTTAGTAGATGGCAATACAAGCATCTTCCGCGTAAAGTGACTAAGCCTTTTTAAGTTGAAGCATTGGGTTCCGTGGGGCATGGATAGCACGATGGGTAGCACTACAAGCATCTTCTACGTGCTTATTTTTATTGTTTTTTTCTGTATGCTTGGTTAAGAGTTTGTTTTCAGAAATGATAAAAAGAGTAGACAGCACCGCATGTTTTTATATAACGCCCCAAATTTTCTAATATTCTATACATTTTAAAACAATATTATTATATTCATGTACAAATAGTATTGTTAATTTTCTAGAAAAATTGATATGAAACATAACCTAAATTATATACTTGAATACAACATCCTTAATAAGAGTTTATTTTGTAAGAAATCTATAATTAAAGACCTAATATTTTTAAGGAGTGAACAAAAATGGTGAAGTGACATATAAATTAATAACTTTCTTATTTTTTATGAAAAAATAACAACTCATAAGCAATATACATTTATTCCTTATAAAATAAATATTAAAAAAATGGCTAACAAAAAATATTTTCTAACTCAAATCCATCAACAGTGTCATATTAAAAAAATATAAGGGCGTGTTAGTTTTTTTTAAAAAAAAACATCATTTTCTCCAAACATCGGTTTTTTTTTTGGGCTATGTTTTGCTAAAAAACAAAAAAACCTCTTTGAACTTCTATATATATATATATATATATGAAAATTTATATAAAAAGTTTATTGGTATAACATTACTATTCCTCAAATTAATTAGTGGTAGCATAGTATTATATCATGTTGGTAAAATTCCAACGCACTCATTTTGAAATCCATAAATTGGATTTCTTCACATTAAACAAAAGAAAAAAAAACAAATAAATAAATAACAACCAACCCAGAGCCAGCTTTATAATATATGTGACCTTAGGTAAAATAATATTTTTCTTAACAATTTTCAACTATATTTTCATTTAAATCTTTATCTTGTTCTTCTAGTATTTAGGGTTTAATATTAGTAACAAATCTATCAAATGCACTTTTTTGGGATTGAATTAGTTCTTCTACCTTTCTTTTTTTTTTTTTACATTTTTCATACCCAGATTCATACTTTCTAATAAATATTTTATTCAAATAATAAAATTAAAATATGATTATAAAAAGTGTAATAAACTTTGACACTTGATTATATTTGCTTGCCACACCTAATCAAGTAAACCTTGAGAGAATCACCTTAGAAAATAAAAGAAATTTGAGAAAAAAATAAAATATTATATGATTTATATACATAATTTTATTTGCATAGATTAAAAAATTACCTTCAAATTCTTCTGCCAAGTTAAGAGATCCCTGATTGTTTGGAGAAAGAAATGAATATAATAACAAAATTTGGAGATCTAAAAATTGTTTCTCACAAATATTTTTTTAAAACTTTTTTGTAAGTAAAAATGTGTCACTAAAATAAAAATTGAAAGCTTTTATAAATAGAAGGTAACTGAAAAAACATTTAGAAAAAATAGAATTTTTAACGTTGAAATAATAAATCTCTGAACAATAGAAGTCTTTCAATGCAGGAACTCTAGTACCTATAACCTGTTAATAAAAAGAAAAATGATGTCTAATACTTAGATGAAGACTACATCTTTTAATTTATCTCATTCTTCAAGGGTGTAAATTTAAGATAAAATTTTAACTGAAGCCCTCCTTCCTGTGAAGGCCTAAGCATAATCGTTAATGACCTATGCCCTGAACCGACAGTGTACCAACCTTTAAAAACATATGAACCAGCAGCTAACTTGAAGGAATAGAATTTTAATCTATTCCATGTCATAGAATGGGCCCACATCCATCTTTTCCATCCCCTAATCAAGCACTTGAGAAAACAACACAAATCAACCTAATAAAGTCCATCCCCTAATCAAGCACTTGAGAAAACAACACAAATTAACCTAATAAAATTTTCTCGGTGCTACGGTAGATGGCAGGTCAACGAAGCACCCGCTCACCTAAAGCATTAAAAACGATAGTAATTAGCATATTTAACGCGGAAACCATCAAGAAAGAAGAGAAAAAGCAAAAAGTAAAAGAGAAAAGAACCGTTTGGAGACAAAGAATTGTTTGTTTTAGATGAAGACTCTTGATAAGATTCTTAAAAAGAAAACAATTCTCTTTGAAATCAAATCCAAACTTAAGATTTATCTTGAAACTAGATAATAATTATCCTATCCTGTCACATACTAAAGTAAAACTATCTGATATCATACCGGCCTTTCCTGTAGTCTGTTGGCGTGATCTTTGCACCAAATCCATCATATAAGACTATTGTGTGTTCTTAAAAACACGAAGAACTTTGCATCAAAATTCGTCTATGCGAACCTGACTGAACTACTAAGTAATTCAGAACTAACTAAAATAAAGAGGAGGGGATGTGAGATATCAAGACTTTATTTCCAGGAAGGTAAAGGAGAAAAGAGGAGATAAAAAACATCGGAAATAAAATCAAACTCCAAGCTTAATTATGGTATGGAATTTACAGATGGTTGCAGCCGCTGCACACAAAAAATATTAAAAAAAAAATAATAATAAGATATGGAATTAGCAGATCTGTGATCATATCCTTTTGATCTCTCTCAAACAGCTACCTACACACTCGTAACATGCGCGCAAATAATATACAGAGAAAGCACCAGAGAGAACTAACAGATCAGGCAGGAGGAGGAAAAAAAGAAAACGGGAAAAACAAAGTAACGTACGTGTGAGCTGCGGTGAGAAAAAAAATTCCGGTCGGCCAACCAAGGGTCTAATTTCCTTTTGCCCATACGAAACAGCTCAAAGGAAGTTTATATTCGTGCCTCTATGTCAGTCCCTGAAGGAAATGAGATGAAGACAAGTTCTACTAGCTAGTTCTCAAGAGGTGAAGAAATCGAATCAATGGAACGTAATTTCTAGCTTGGGAATGAATAGCGATTGCTTTAGAATTGAGTTTTTCAGGATTTCTTTTTTCACGGTAGAGTATTATTCAGGATTTCTTTGATCGGGGTAGAATTGGGGGAAAAACAACCAGAAAAACAGAAAAAGAGAGAGAACAAAATGGTTCCATACGAGGGGATGGTTTGAAGGAGAGAGAGAGGATAGACTTGTGTGATCTTTTTCTTTTGCTGTCTTTTTCTGGAGAAGGACAAGTCATAAGATTTTGGACCCAGTGACCCAAAGCGTAATATAACCCTGTGATTCAACACTTTTGTCAGGTTGAATCCAGTGGTTTAAAGTGGGGAGAATAGAGAGAGAAGAAGATGCGCGGTTGGATCCTTAGTTTTTAAAACTTTATACAGTTTATCTTTGTAGTCCAAAAACTGTTAAAATTTGAAATTTAGTTGATGAAATATAAACGCGTAACATGTCACATTTTTTGTGGTTGATTTATATGCCACGTAGATGCCTTATAAGTTAATTAAATACAAAATTGTATTTATATGTCACGTGTCAAAAGTTGTATATCGATTTTTCCAAAAAACAAAAGTCTCACTCACTATAAAAATAATTCATAAATCTCATATTTTTGAGAAAGAAAAAAGTACACTTTAATGTAACAGTCTGATAACTGTGACCATGAAGCACTGCGGTATCCCTTAGCCATTTGGTCTTGATTGACCCCATACTTCATAAACTATTATTGCCATTCTCAAAAACAATCTTGCCTAAACAGTTTCTTAACTATAAGTTGCATGATAATTAAAGCACGTTTTGCCGAAGCAAAACGATTTAGCCAAATTATCTCTAGTGATTCTAAGTCTAACAAAGCCAGCAATGAAATTATCATGAATGTGACGAAAGAAGAGCAGCCAGTCCCGTCAGCTTTATAGGACAGCTGGTTAAAGATTCATTAATAGTAATCAGAACAAACATCATGTATAATGTTAGACCAAAGATGTTGTTTCTTTTGTAACATGCCTTTGCCATTTTCTCTCTCTCTTTTTCTAACTAGTAGTTTGGATGATATTTGCTCGTATAGCAGAACATCAATGTTATGGCAACTTGCTGACAACATAAATCGATTGGGAGAGAATAAAGTTTATCTAGAGACTAGAATTCAAGACAACTTTTCTTGCTGGATAGGAATTAAATGAAGGAATCTTGTATTAAAAAAAAAAAAAAAAAGAGCTTCTGCGGAAGACCTAAACTTTGGTGGAAAAGTAATTGTTTTTGAGCCAAAAGAATGTGTTCTCGATTCCTTAACATCGCCTTTCTTTTGTACTGCAGAAGCGAACATGCTGTAACCAGCAGGGGCTGGTTTCTCTTATTCTGCCAATCAATCTTTCTATGACTTGGTGAATGAAGCTGTCACAGGTATGAATTTCCTGCTCCAACAATTTGGTAGCTTAAATTCTGAACATCATACCCTAGTCTTCTGATAAAAAAACTTACTACAAACTTGTTTTTAATCAGATGACCACATTAATAAGTATTTACCTATGAGCATCATCATTCTTTCTGTATTTTTTTTGCTGTTCTGTGCATAAATATTTGGAGAATTTTTTTTCCAAAACTCAAGATATTAGACTTCCTTCTCTTCAGCACAAGACAATTTCATATTCCTGCAGCAACGGTCTTCCAAATTCCCTGAATACAAGGATAGAAATTTCTACATCACTGGAGAGAGCTATGCAGGTACCTTAAACCTCTGTGAAGGCAGAAAGCTCAGAATTTTCCAGAAGAAACAACTAGCATAAAATATGTGTCTGTTGGTCAAAGTGATTGATCTTCAAGCTCTCTAACTGTAATTTATTTTGACAGGTCACTACATCCCACAACTAGCTTATCTCATTGCTCAGTCAGGATTAACATTCAATCTGAAGGGCATGGCAGTGAGTACTGAGTACTGACTAGTGACTACTACTGAGTACAGTTTTGAAATATGAATTCTGATATTACCATTATTCTTCCATGCATATTCCCAAATCAAATTTCATGGAGTGCTAATATTTTACATATGATGTTTTCAGTTAGGAAATGCTTTATTGGATTTCAACATGGATTTTAACTCGGAGGGTGACTACTACTGGTCTCATGGGTTCATATCAGATGCTACTTACGAACTGCTAACTTCAGTTCGTAACGCTTCACAGCTATAGAGAGAGAGAGAGAGAGAGAGAGCATAACAGGCTCCAAGTTTGGTGCTTATGTGGGTGTCAATGAGAGACTTTCAATAGAATTTCCTAATGCATTTGATGATTACAAAGCCATTGGCGACATTTGTATATCATCTGGTCAATCATCCAGTTACCCCTTTAGACGGAGGTTTCAAGTTGCATCATCCACTCAATCGGTACAAGAACATCTCAACGAGAATGTAAGCTCTCCATGTGTAACCTTATTGTGTGGGCTCTCTGTTCAGTTCTGCATCCGGGTCTTAGTCTATAGGTAACTTAACAAAGCTTTTCATCTCTTATTTACAATCAGCAAATGTTATTACTGTTCATTACATAGGTCGACATAATCTCTACAGTGGAGATCAAGATTCAGTTGTCCCATTTATTGGGAGTAGAATTTTGGTAGAGGGTTTGACCAAAGAACTAGGACTGAGTGCAACTGTGCCTTATAGAGCTTGGTTTAAGGATAAACAGGTTGGTTGTTCCCGAAACATTATGCGCATCAAGCTAAATATCATCAAGAATAAAACTTGATTCCTCATTTCTGTTACATTGGTTAAATGTTTCTTCCCAGGTTGGTGGATGGACATAAGTTCATGGAGACATCATAACATTTGCGACTATCCGAGGAGCTGCTGGACACTTAGCACCATTGACATCTCCGAAGAGATCCTTTGCCTTATTTGCAGCATTTCTATCTGGGAAACCCCTTCCAGAGGCATAATCAAATTAAAACATGATACTGTTTGGTAGAAGTGAAATGCATTTATGTGTTCATGCTTGATCAACAATGCCGATTACAATCCCTGTGCCTGAAATAATAATTTGAATGCCTATGCAATTGGAGAAATTCCAAAATGCCTCTTTGATCTTTATTTACTTGAGGAAAATTATTACATTCAAAATCTAATCTCTCTGTTTTATTTTATTCTTGGAGGAGAATCTGTAATGCCATTGACGATAGTACGAAAACTAAATCGATGAAAATGGAATCTAATGATCTGATAAGACAACTAAAAGTCCAAAACCAATAATACCTGAACCTTGTAATCGTCATCTTAAATTAATGTAGTCCAGACTCGGCAGGGTGAAAGTACTGCAGTTCCTAACTAAATATTGCCAGTTAATGCTACATCCAGATTTTGTTGAAAAAGAAGCATTCTACTTTCATCCAACCTTATAACTACTTCAATTCCATCACCATCTTTAGTGTCTAAAATCACAATAGCACTATAATTGTTAGTTTTATCCACGAGACGCACCCAAGAGGGCTTTCCCCATCCAAAATCTGTTTCATACAATGGGAACCGACACAAAGAACTTACCATATAGAGATCTGTCTCGGGTTTTTCCCAGGCTTCACTCGCCTCCCTCATCTTCTTGATCTTGATCCAAAATAAGTCATCCCCACTCGAAGCTTTCGCAAAATCATCAACCAAGCTTCTTGTCGCAGCATGCACCCGATTTACGAAGTCACGAAGCTCAATCTTGCTCCCATCATCTGGCATGAATTGCGCAATCGCGAAGTTTACAAAGTTTCCACAAGAATACTCCGGCATAGTTATACTTGTCTTCCCTCGCATATTAACTACAATTCCAAAGATGGAAGGCCTCAAGTGGCCGTGTATAGCTTGAGCTACCTTTGTGAGAATCATCCACACAAGTCCTGTCACAACCTCCACTCGTGTCGGTTGGTGTTTCAGCAGCTGATTTGAACCAGAAGTACGACTTACAGCAATTTCTTTCAGTTTTGATATTGTTGCACGGTTAAACACGAAAGTTTTCTTGACAACCTTGTTAATTTCTCCACCTCTTGTCGGATCGCAGACGGAAGAGATAGTAGGTATGTTCTTGGGCGGAAGAAGAGAGCCGAATGGGAAGCTCGGACGACAATGTACCTTTTCAATCCCAATTCGGCAAGCAGTGGCCCAGGCATTGACGAATGCACCTATTGTGTATCCATCAGCTATACTGTGTGCCATACATGTCCCAATAGCTAGGCCTCCACAATCAAACATGTTGAATTGAATGGTTAAAAGAGGGCTGTTCTTCGGTTGGAAATTTCCCGGTACCAAATGCCACCACATTTCAGTCTCAAGCTCTTCTCTTTCGAGAAGTTGAGAAAGGGAACCACTAACTTGAGCTTCCAAGTACTCCGCTCCCTTGTCATTACACTCAATTGAGAAGTTTTCTTTTATGCTTCTCCCCCTAGTGGGTAAAAGAGGGTTAAGGTTTCAGATAGTGATTTTTCCAATTTCTTGCTTCGCTCTGCATTGTTTCCACCATGGTCTTCACCATTGGGTAGGTAGTAGAAAAGAAAGAGCCCATGCAAGGTAGCAGCAAGCTGGTCGAAACATGATAATTTCAAGTTCTGAAGGTTGGGTGGAGTTGGAAACGATGGAGCTATGAACTTTTCTAGATAGGATCTGAACCTTCATATTCAGAATTCAATTTGTGCCTCAAGAAATGGAAAATCACAGGATAGCCTTTGTTTGGCAGGATTTTCCTGTCAAGAGGAATGCTTGAAATATCCTTTGCACAAACTAATGGGAAAATTTATATAATTAAGTGCATCAATACCTTCTTTTAAATATGTTATCATCGATATATATAGTTTTTACAGAACTAAACAAAAGAGATGTTGTTGGTGCATTTTAATATTAATGAATTAAGTGCATGGACTTAAGTAATTTAAATTGACATAAGTTAGCTAAAGACAAAAAATTAATGCTTTAATTAGGTTGTAACGTGTTTTGTTAAAATTACATGCGAATTAATTATTGCATTTCAATGACATGGATGTATCATAACGTGTAATCCAAGTAACTTCAACCAGAGGAAGTTTAAGATGAGCAATTGGTCATAATAAGAAAAACTTAAACAAGAACCTAGAATTTAAGAGGGAAGGAAATGTGTGTTCATGTGTCATCATAAATGGGTGGAAATGTAATTAATTAATACTAGGAATCTTTTCTTCTTCAGTTGAATTAAAAAAAAAAAACAAAAAAACAAAACAAGTTAGCCTTGTACCAAAAAAATTTATCCAATGATTTTGTATTTAATTAGAACAAAATTAGAAGAGTCAATATCCTTACCTTCGAACTTTAATACAATTGAAATTCGTTCTGGTCACCAAGAGTTCTAATATCAAATTGACACCGGATTTGTAAAGATAAGAAACAAACGGCACAAAATCAACCCTATTTATATTAGCTCCAAACAGAGAAGAAACTAATTAAAAAGTTTCTAAATGCACTAATTCTACCATCCTGATCAATTTACCCTTCAATGTCTATTGGCTTCATTTTGGTAGAATATATTACAATTTCTTCCATTAAAATTTCATAGGATAATGCAAAGGATGCTACTTTCTTTAGTTTTTGTACAAATGATAAACGTACGGATATATATATATATATATATATATATCTCTTTTAGATTTAATGGGAAAACTTCATACCTGAAGGGAAAATTTTGAAACTCGTCCTTTCAAGAAACATAGGCTAAGAACATTAAACAAATTCCAAATCCAATTAAGAAGCCTATAAATAAATCAATTCTATGCATTATATCCATTTATTAATTAATTACATCATCATATTGTGTGTATAAAAAAAATTTACTTTAACTAAATTATTACATATCAATATTTCAATTATTTTATTTATAGGCTTGAACCAAGAAAATATTTCAATTATTTTATTTATAGGCTTGAACCAAGAAAATAACTTGATTAGGATCCATTACGGTTATTACGAGTTGGATACCCATACTACGCTACTGGTCGGACAACCATTACGTATGTAAGGTTAACTATTTGTATGGTGTAGTGCAAGTAAAAATTTTATTTCTCATAATTAATGTAAATCAACTCTATTTGCTGAGCAAATTTTTTTGATATATATATATATATATATATATATTAAAAAAATAATCAATAATATTAGCATAAAACATTGTATTTGAATAATTGAAAGGTTCTTTCAAAACACTATTTTAATTATTTTATTTAAAAAATATTGATTTTAGAACCAAAAAAAAAAAGAATAAATAATAAATAAATGGGGTTATGTGGGCAAATATATAATTAATTTATAACAAAACTAATTATGTATATTTCAATTATTTTATTTAAAAATATTAATTTTAGAATATGAATAAATTATAGATAATTAGTGTTATGTATGCAGATACAAAATTAGTTTCTAAAACTATATATATATATAATGATCATATTTAATAGATTCATAGTATATAGTATAAATAAATATTTTTTTAAATAAAAATTTAAATTGTATGGCATATATTAAAGTCAATAAATTGAAATAAAAATTAATATAAAATTGATTTCCATAAATCGACTTCTTAATTTATGATGAAAGAGATTCTTGAATTGCAAATTAAATTATAAATTAGTCCATCTCATTTTGAAAAATTAATTAATTAATTCTTTTGGTTTAAAAAATAAAATTTTTTATTTTTTAATCAGCGTTAACCAAAAAAAATTTATTTTTTTATTTTCAATTTTTATTTTATTCTCTCTCTATTTCTTAAACAAAAAATAGAACCATTGATATAGCAAAAAAAAAATTAACTTTTGAACCAAATGGACTAATGTCGTTATATATGCGGATACATAATTAATTTTCAATAAAACTATATATATATATATATATATATATATATACAGTATAAATAATTTTTTTTAAAAAAAAACATATAAGTTGTATGGAATTAAACTCAATAAATTGAAATAAAAATTACCACAAAATTATTTGTCATAAATCTTACTTCTTAATTTATGATGAAAGAGATTCTTAAATTGAAAATTAAATAATAAATTATTTTTATTAAAAAATAAAATTTTATAAAAAAAGTAATTTGATAAGAATTTTTATAATAAATAAAAAATTTAAGAGATTAATTTTAATCAATAAAAAAAATAATTCGATATATGTATTTGTTCTAAAATTTAAAAACTTAAGAGGCCAAATGTTTTTTTTTAAATATGAGGAACAAAAAATATATTTAAAAAAATGAGGCAAAATGGTCTAAGTTACAAACATAAGATTTCAAAATATTTTTAAAAATATGAGGATTTAAAAATATATTTTGAAAACATAAAAGTTAAAAAAAAAATAAAGTGTAAAATTTGAAAATGAATGTAAAAAAACTATAAAAAAATCACAAAAAAGCCATTGTAGAAAAAAAATCCATTTTAAGTAATGAACAATAAAATACTGTTCATTTGAACAAGTAAATACTATTCATTTTAAGTAATGAACAATGGGAAGTTATTGTTCATTTGAATGGTAAACTCCCCAATTGTTTTACTTTTTAGTTGTATCTCGCTTTACTTTCAAGGTTTAAAATAGTTTCCATGCTCGGGTTGGGGATCGTTGTAATAACCCAAATTTTTCTTATTTTTTTATTTATTTTTTATTATTTTTTATTTATTTATGTTTATTTTTTATTTTTACTTTTATTTATTTTTTTAATTTGAAGTTTACTAAAAAAAAAGAGAGAAGGAAAAAGAAAAGAAAAAAGAAAGAAAATGATGAAAAACACAAGAAAAATTCATTTAGGGACGGGGTGCAATCGAGTCAATTAAAAAATTTAGGCCTTAAATTGCACCTCCCGGGGACCTAATTGATGAGATTGAGCTGAAATTATTTTACGGAATGGCGTAATTGTGAAAATTAAAATGCGAGGACCAAACTAGAAGTTTGGAGCGAACGACAGGACCAAAATGGAGAAGACGACCTATCGTCCACTCCAAACCCGCATTCTCTCCAAAAGTATTTAGAGAAATCGCCAAATCCTCCATAATTTTCTCGTTTTGATTCTACATCTATCATTGAATTAATTTTGGACGGAGAATTAAGCAATTACTAATTCCTTTCCTTGTGGATTAGCAAATCGAATCAAATTTGAGATTTTTGACGTGAAAATTTTAGGGGATTTTGTGTCCGATTCGAGGAGAAAATCAAGCAAGCTTTTGGCTATAAAAACGAGTTTGATTTCAAGAAAAAGGGGGAGGAGGATTGAAAAGGAATTCTGGTTGAGAGAGGGCGAGAATTGAAAGAAAAAAACCAAATTTTCGATCTTTTAGCAGTTGGGTTATCCGGGTTTTTCCGGGTTCCCGGGTTTGAGTGTTCTTCGTGTTCTTCATTGTTCTTTATTTCGATTTCGAGTTCATCCCTTTTTGGACTCGTTGCTCGATTTGCCTCGGTTTAGGTGCAATTACACAAGTTCTTTAACTTTAATTTTTGGGTTTGAAGCTTCAATTAACGTTTTTTTTTAGTTTTTGTTTACCAATTTTTTTGGGCGGCACTTAAATGTTCTTGTTCGTCCGGGTTTCGGGTTTCGGTGTTCTTCACACTCGTTGAACTCTAATTCTTCGTTCTCCAATCCGTCCGAGTATCCGAGTCCATCGAATAATCCTTAGGATCTCTAGAAATCACCTCGGATTTCAATTCTCTAGTCCAATAAACAATCTTCCTCATCGGTAAATTGTCGTCGACATCTTCGTTTTTTTTTTTTTTTAGTTTTTGATTTCGTTTCAATTGGTTGTTAATTATTTGTTCGGATTATGAATTCGACATGTTAGGGAGGTGAGAACATGAGCATGATACGTTTTGTTTTGAAGGAAGCTTTCAATTTCTAAAAAAAAAACTGGAAATATAAAGAGAGAAGTTTAAGAACTTGAAGAGCAGGGAGAGAAAAAGGGTCGAAGGTTAGAATGTGCGATTTTGATCCGAAAAAATGAAAATTGGAAAATGGGTTTTGTTTTCGGTCGGGTTTTCTTTTTAAAAAAAAGAAAAAGAAAGCAAAGGCCGGATTGTTTTCGACTCACCCACGCCTTTTCTCAAAAAAAAAAAAAAAAAAAGGAAAAAATACGTGTGGGCTAGACCCCGCGCCCCTTTACATCAAATAAAAAGGGGTTGAGCTGGAATTCAGCCCGACCGTGTTCCTCACAAAAAAAGAAGAAGAAAAAGGTGCAATAAAAAAATGGAAAATAAGTAAAAGGAAGAAAAAAATAAGAAGAGAAAAAAAGGGGGAGGGATGGGTAAAAAAAAAAAAAGAGTAAAAATTGTGGTATGATGATTTTTTTTTTTTTTGCCTTTTTATTTTTATTCCTTTTTTTTATATTAATTTAGAATTTTTATTTCAATTTTTTTTCTTCTTTAATATGTATTGCTAGAAAAAATAAAAAAAAATCTTGACAAAGTCTCCTATCCGATAGGGATTGACGTCATAAAAAAAATATATGCCTAAAAATTTTGACAAAGCCTCCTACTTGGTAAGGACTCGACGCCGCACAATAAAATAACATAATAATAAATAAATAAATTGACGAAGTCTACTATCTAATAGAGACTAACGTCACCAAAAAGGATATTCAAAATTTTCGATGAAGTCTCCTATTTGATAGGGA